CTTTGAGACATCCACCGCCCCCCCCCCAAATCCCCACCTCATGCCTGACCCGGGCCTGTGGCCTTGTGGTTGAGGCCGGGCTACTGGAGGGCTGCAAAACCATCTCGCTGATGTCATCAGGGCGTTGGGTGACATCATAGCTACAGGCGCAGCCTGGGAGGTTCTCCGGGCATGGTTGGGGGGGCGTTCCTCTCGGCTTCGACACGGATCCCAGGCCAGTTGCCTCTTCCCCGGGCACGGAGCAATGCAGCAGGGGCAGGGGGCGAGCCGAGGCAATAGCGTTGTTACCCCAGAGCCAGGGCGAGGGGGCATCCCTGGGGGGCAGGCGCGGCACTGGAGGGTCGCCAGGCCTCCAAGGGCTGGGCCGGGCCGGATGAGTCACCTACAGGCGGCCACGGCCCAGGCGGCTCCTGCTCTTTGCTGCTTCCCACCGTGGTGGATGCAACTGCCGCCCGGCTCCACGCTTCGCTCCCCAGATGGTGGGGGGCACGCGGGGCTCCTCTCTGGGGCAGGGAAAAGGCCGATGGGGCCTGGCAATGAGCTCTGGGCAATGGGGGCTGCAGGGAGTGCAGGGCCATGGGGGTCCTGCAGCCAGTGCCTCTGGGGGGGCTTCAACCCCCTGACCCCAGGGAAGGGCAGCTAGCACAGCCCCAACCTGGGACACCCCCAGCAGAGCACAGGCATCGCTGCGCCTTGACCCTCCCACCCAGCCTCTCCTGCGACCCCCCCCAACTGCATCCCCCAGCCCTGGCATCTCCCCCACTGTCACCCCAGCGCTTGCTTTACCCCGTGACACCCAGTCCCAGGCAGGGGCAGCTCATAGGCTCCCTCACCCTCAGCCACGGACACACGCCACGTCCGGCCTGCCCCCGGGCCGTGGGGCCCTGCTCCCGGCCGGGCGCTCCATTGCATGCCTGTCGTATGCGGGCTGCAGCAACAACCCTGCCGGGTGCACCAAGAGCTGAGAGCGGGTGTGAGATGGGCCCCTGCGCCCAGGAAGGCAGCACTGGTTCGCCCTCAGCCCCTGAGCAGCTTTTCCTCCCCAACGTCCATTGCAATGGGGGTGTGAGAGGGGGGTAGGCTGGGGACCGGGACACCTGGGGTCTGTCCCTTGATGGAGCTGGAGATGGGGTCCCTGGGCTGCTCAAGTGGGGGGGATCCTGCTGCATTTAGGTGACATCTGGAGTTTCCTGGTCCTCTCTTTTCCTTTCTGTGAAATGGGGCCAGCAGGGCTCACCAGCCAATGGTGCGACAGTGTGCAAACAATCCACCTGCCAATTAACATCTTCCCTAATCATCACCACTAACAAGATGCTGTGAAGGGGCTGCATCCACACTGAGCGTGCTCAGACCAGCCTCACTGGGCCTGCTCCAGCCCTGGGCCACCGGGGCTGAGCCGTGCTGGGGAGGCCGGCCGGGTAGAGGGGGCCCAGACAGGGGCTGGGGGGAATAGCCTGCCCTCTTCCTGCCCCGGTGGTGCCCTAGCCCCAGGGGCCACGGCCGCATCCTGAATGGGGCTGGCTGGGAGGTTGGGGGACGGGGCGCCCGGGGGGGAGGGCTGTGGGGACACACATGGCTCCATGGCACGCTAGCGCCCATGCCTGACTGGCTCTCCCACGCGTGCGCTGACCATGCACCATAGCCATTCTGCCTCCCCTGCCCCGTGTGCTTACAGGTCCACGTTCCCACACACGTGCAGGATTCGACCTTGGGAGCGGGCTCTGGCACGGGCTTGGAGGGGCTTTAGGGCTCAGGAAAGGACCCCCCCAGCCCCTCCATCCTGCAGCTGCTCCTCTGTTGTTCCGGCCCCGCGCCCCCCACGCAGCCGGGGACGGGCCTGGGCGCTCGGAGCTGCAGGGAACCATGCCAAGCGGGGGGGCGCGCGGCTGGTGTCCGGCCCCGGGGCGGAGGGGCAGCTGCGGTCGTTGCAGGGACGCGGGGCTCTGAGGGGGCCGCGGGATTAGGAGCAGGAAGGATGCTTCCTGCGCCCCGTGGCCCAGCTGGCACTTGCAAGGCCTCCGAGTCAGGTCAAGTGTAGCATGGCGGGGGCGCACAGGGGCTGCTGGGAGATGCAGAGCTTCTGTGCCTCAGTTTCCCCCCAGCACAAGGGAGAGCCACACTCCCCCAGGGCAAAGACCCCCATGGGGCATCGCTCCACCACAGAGCCAGTCACATTTTGGCCCCCACCCAGAGACCCCATAGGTGGGGGCGCTTGCCCAAGGGAACCCGGAGACCCCCAGCCCGGGGAGGGTCCCGGGCAGGGCTGGCCCCGGAGCAGGGGGAGGGGCGCAGTAATTACAGCCTGCGCAGGGCCGGGAGGGGGACAAGCCGGGGCACATCTCACGGCGCAGCCGCGGCGCAGCCCTAGCCGTTCGGCAGCATTTTTCTCGCCCTCCGAAGGGAAGACGCTCCAGGCCCCCGCCCCGCCCCCCCCAGGGCCCGTGGGGCCGGCGGAGCCGTGCGGCAGAGGCGGGGCCTGGGGGGGTGCTGCTTTGGGGGGGGTCAGGCCCAGAGCTGCGGCTGTCCCTCCCCCCACAAAACGCAGGCCCCCAGCAGCCCCCCTCACCGCAGAGCACCGGTGGCGCGGGGTGGGGAGATGCAGGTGGAGGGCCAGGCACAGAGGGTCTTGGGATGCCCGCACGGCAGACCTGTACCCCCATGCCTCGGTTTCCCCATACGGCGTGGGCAGCAGTGTCCTCACGGCAGGCCCATACCCTTGTGCCTCAGTTTCCCCCAGACACTGTGAGCAGCAACACCCTCACGGCAGGCCTGTACCCCCTGTGCCTCAGTTTCTTCACATGTTGCGGGTAATGATACCCCCACAGCAGGACCATACCTCCGTGCCTCAGTTTCCCCCAAACACTGTGGGCAGTGCTACCCTCATTGCAGGCCTGCGCCCCCCGTGCCTCAGCTTCCCTCATATGCTGTGGACAGCAATACTCTCATAGGAGGCTCGTCCCCCTGAGCCTCAGTTTCCCCATATGTTGTGGGGAGTGGTACCTTCATGGAAAGCCCGTACCCCCATACACCATGGGCAGCACTACCCTCATGGCAGGCCTACCCCTCGTGCCTCAGTTTCCCCCATATGCTGTGGGCAGTGATACTCTCATGGCAGGCCTATACCCCCGTGCCTCAGTTTCCTCCCACACATTGCAATCCCCAAGCATCCCTCCCAGGGGAAGCTGCCGGGCTATCATCACAGCGCTGCAGCCCCAGGACCCCTGGAACAACGCGAGAGGGGTCCTAGGCACTGGATTAGCTGAGCTTACTCCCCCTCCATGCTCAGCCTGGACCCAAGACCCCCTGCCCAGATCCTGCCCCCCTCCTACACGCACCCCCCAGCCAGCCCTGGGGTGGCACCTGCCACCCTGCATGTACCCCTGTGCTCTGGCATCTCACTTCAGCCCCCCTAGGACCCCATGGGCTCTGCCAATGCAGCAGGCTCTGGGCTTGCAGCCACCCTCACCCCCACGCAAGACTGCCCTGCCCCAGAGGCCAGGTCTCGGCTTATATAGGTGTGTGGTCATGTGACTCCCCAGCCACTCCTCCCAGGCCTCTGCACTACATCCCCCAGAATGCCCCAGGGCTGGAGCCGGCTGCTCTCTTCAAGGAGCCCTGTGTGTGTGTGCGTGTGTGCTTGGAGAGGAGGGGGCAGGGGGTCTGTGCTGGGGGGTGGGGGGCAGGGGTCTGGCCTCTCCCAGTCCCAAAGGCTTCTGCTGGAGAGCCAGGCTCTCCAGGGAGCCCAGCGTGGCCCTGACACGTGGCAAGGGGGTGGCGAGGAAAGCCCCAGGTCCTGGAGTCTCTAAGCGCATGGGAGCACCACGAGGCCTGGTTGAGAGCGGGTTGGTCTATGCCTCCAGGTCTGGGTGGCAGGGGGCATCGCCATGATACCAACTGGCCTGGCACAATGCCCCCGGCTAGGCCAGCCCCCTGCTGCAGCCTTCGAATGCCAGTGTCCCCAGTACCAGGCCAGCTCTGGGAGGGGATTGCAGGGCCCCGACTGGCAAAGAAGCTGCAGAATCCAGGTCTCACACACATATGTGCACACCCACACACATACATGAATGGGCACACAAATGCATACATATGCACGTGCCCACATGGACACTAGCACATGCAAGCCCACATTTACATGCCTGCCCACACAGATATTCATGCACACACATCATGCCCACATAGACACGTGTACATGCACAAAAGTACATCCCCACATGGACACATGCACAGGCATGAGCACACATCTATACGCACATACACACATGCATGCCAACAGATGCACATGCATGGACCCATCCACATTGATGCACACACATCCATGCCCACACAGATGTGCACACACCCATGCATGCACACACAGGTACCTGCACACACACACATACTTGTCACACAGATGCCCACATATGGACATGCCCACATGAACAAATGCACACGCATGCACACAAAGACAGATATATGCAATATGCATAAAAGCATGGACAAAAGCCTGCATACCCACAGAGATGCACACCCACGCACACCTATGCATGTGCACCCACATGGATACACACGCATGCCCAGACACACATGCACACACCCATACACATACATTCATGCACAGACATGCATATCCACAGGCTCATGCATGTCCATCCCACATGCACACATCTGCACGCAGCACACCACTCACACACGGAGTCTGGCTGTTCCTGCGCCCTACTCGGAGCCCAGGCAGGCTCTGGAGCGTGGCCAGGGGGCTCCTGGGCCTGTATCTGCAGCCAAGTCACCTAGCGCGTCTCACCCACGTGAAGGAGACATCCCAGGAATG